CCCTATAATTTCTCGCATTTTTAGAACAAAGGAACTCACAGGAGAAACTCATTCAAGACTATATGTTGTCGCTGATGAAGTTTTTTGATGAACTCAGAGTCCATCTTCATTCGCTGCCTTTGAAATCTCGTCCCGACGTTGCGGATCGTATTCGTGAAGCAGTGCGGCAACATTGCCGAGAACTACGTGTATCTCGAACAGCTCCGCTTAACAAATGTAGGTCTTTATTTTGTATCCTTTGATTACCAAATGAGGTTTGAGACATCATGTTGCGTTCACCTTCTTTTACTCCATCATGTCCAATTCTTACTTGCTTTTTTCTGTTTCCTCAAAAACCTCAATTCTGTCTAGAAATGGAAGGAGAGATGCAAACTTTAATTTTTACAGTAATCGAAAATGCGTGTGTGGCTCGTGAAGCGGAACTATGGAGTTTCATTGACGTTGCCGCGGAAGTTGCATTAGATGGAACCCCTGATTCTGATGGAGGAGGCTCGAGTAGTGACAGTAGTGGAAGTGGAAGACGACCGAGACGCATCCACACTTTTCATGGAACCACTGGGCCGTCGGACGATCATGCTCCATCGACATCGGGCAAAGAAAGTAAGGAAAATGTTCAAATGGAGCTAAGCCAATCTGCTGTTCATAGGTGCACCTCAAGTGTAATAGAATATAAAAAATAATTCATTAGGATGTCTTTAGAAGAGGGTTATTTGCCTAGTCGCACTCTATCGTAATTAAACTATTACGGTGGAACTTTCAGAATTAAGTATCACGTATCTAAAAGAGACCATTTTAAGCGCTAAATTACTAAAAGCTTTGAATTATAGTGCTTCTATTCTTGACCTCCTTCAGAATCGTCAATCCGAAGGCACACAACAGTACCACGTATGAGTGTGAGCCAAGATAATGCTCCTGGTGATAGAAGCGATGAAGAGGATGAACGAGTTGAGTTGAGCGAAGAACGTCGCGAACAACTTGAAGTCGATGAGAAGACGCATCGCTTACCTGTAAGAGTTAGTATAGATTGGATAAATCTAAGTGATCTCTAGAATCACTGTAACGTTTTCAGCTTGGTTTGAACCTTAAAGCTCGCCGCGCTATGACTAATCTGATTCGAGAAGTTGTTAAGCTTAAAACAGAAAACAATCATCTGCGAAATGAAATATC